CCCAGCCCTTCAGCAAACAATAGAGACAGTGCCCAGTAAACACAGTCGTGACTCCGTCGCCTGCCAGTCCATGCCCGATGCTTTCAACAGCGATTCCCTGCCAAGCCGTCTTCCAACCTGGCGACCTCAGAGCCCCCGTAATTCCCAGCCAACATGGACAAAGGCACCAGATTACCAAAGGCAACCTTTGTACAACTTCAGTTCCCTAACTGATGCCCAAATCTCCAGCAGAAATAAATCCAAAGATGGCAGCCTGCTTTTCCATAGAGGGGAGCACATTTCAGTCATTTCTAGGAGATCATTTTAGTAGTTTCTATTACATAAAAATCTATTTTCCACTTTATGTTACTAGGGGAATTTTTGAATGCATCATCTCTAAAAGGTTTAATTAAATCATGGTTTATTTGCACGCGAACAGAAGTCTTAAATGATTCTTTTCATTCCCAAATCTAAAAGTAATGTATTTTAATTAACACCTGCAGTACTGCTTTTCTATTAAAATGGTCTTATTGTTTTCCCACTTTTAATCTTACAAACTGCCCAGAATCTTGTAGAGTTGAGCAGCCACTAATTCACACAAATAAAATAAAACCCAAAGTAACTTAAACTTCCAGCATAAATCCAACAGAACCCCCCATCCCCCAAAAAAGTTTAAAGTTATGCTCAGGATACCTCATCTCATCAGTATGTTAATAACAGCTGCCTTATAACACTGATTTAATCCATTCAAATTGCCTACATTGTGTGGCAGGGGCCTTTCTGAAACTCTGATCAACTTTTCCCCTCAGTCTTATCTAAAACCCAAGGAATTCCTCAGGAGTTTTGCACATGCTTTTCCCCTGAGCTACAGCCCCGCCTGAGAATACTCTTCTCCATCAACTGAGAGGCACTTCCTTATTCTTTGTATTCTTTGATATTTCAGTGCTGAGTCCAACATAGTAAAAATGCTGTATAGTTAAATGCAGTTTGGTTCTGGAAACCTGCCAACAGGTTTGTTTGTTTTTAATCTTAGTTGAATCACTAACTCTGATTCCTATTCCTAGCCCAGGAATTAAAGGGATTGTGGTGCCTCTGGCTTAGTCTTACTTAGTATTACCATGAAATAGAATTATTTTACTTTTCATTTCATTAACTTCATGTTGGTGTAAAAAGTTCCCTGTAGCATAGCTTGACCCTAGTCTCTCCGGATACATATTTTTTCTCCTTATACCCCCTACCTACCACACACAAAATCCTATCCTGTACCTTCCCACTAGGAAATTGTTCTCAGTCTTGGATCTCAAATGTTATTGAATTGCAGTCTTCACAGACTGCTGATTGGTTGGGTATAGTAGAAGATGTAATCCAATATCTGAGAAGTTGAAAGTTGGAAACTCAGAGATCTACAGAGTCAGATAACAGAGACCAAGGACTTCTCAAAATACATATACATACAGATGCACCATTAGCAGTATAGTTCATACATTGAGGTTCAGCACGTTTAAAGGTAGATTATAAATCTAACAAATAAATATTTATCCGTTAGATTGGGCATGCTGAAATTATATGCCAGGTTCCAATATACAGTACTGTACAAAAGTTTAGGCAGGTATAAAAAAATGCTGTAAAGTAAGAATGCTTTCAAAAATATACAGTAAATATCAAGGAGATTTGGAGCAATTTAAGATGTACATCTACAGTATGTCTATTGTCATAAGCCAGATATTGCCATTCTTTTGAATCTAGTGGGCACATTTGGAATTTTAAGGCCATGTCATATCCAGACTTACAAAATGCTTATCACAGTGGGCATGATTAGTCCCAAAACTCTTACTCACCAGAAAGATAGAAAGATCCTTTCCAGTTCTATTTGTGTGTGATATGTAGTATTTATGCAGTAAAAAATAATGTAGAAAAAATTTATGTCAACCTGCTTAGCATTAACAAGTTTGTTGTATCATATGGATTCAAAATATTTCATAGAAACCTAGAGGTTACTAAAAGTGACACCTCATGGGACCTTTTAGAAGGGGTAATGGAACTGATCCACATTGGCCAGATGTTGGTCAACCTAACCAGGCCAGTTCAACATTTCTACAAACATAAAAACTAATAAATTGTTTCCTAGAGTGATTGTCAGTTCACAAAGTCATTTAGGCACTCAGATGTGTACTGCAGATCAGGTACAGATTCCCAAATCAAGGGGAGATGAGGGTCTTTCCTTTCTATATTTATATATGAGAATATAATAATTAATTTACCTATTCTTCTGTGATGGTCTAGTTTCCAGTAAAACTACTTCTCTGACTAAAGAAGTCCTGATTGGATATATTGTTGAAATACAGAGAGAAGTTATACTCACCACAACCAAGATTACAGTAATTCAAAAAAGAGGGAACTGAGTTTTTTTCAGTGGCATAATATGTGCTGTCATGGGGTAATCTACTTATTCTTTATCAGGAAAATGATAGGGGATAAGCCAATTTGATGATAACTTGTTTTGGAAACTGCTTGAACAAAGAGAATTTAGAAAGATAATATCTTTTTAGAAAAATCTGAAAGCCATACTGTCAGTCCTTCAGAGGAGAAAAAAAGATGGATTATTTCCTCTAAACTTGTAATTTCTATGTATGTGTTTTGCCTTTTTAATAAATCTTCTTCCCCTTTGACTTAGAAAATGCTGCAGTTCTGCTTTCCTTAAGCAAATTCTTCCTTTTCTATTGCTTGTTGTGCCTTTTGAGTTTTGCATTCTGTATAGCTGCATCAAATGTCACTCTTGTTCCTAGATTTTCTTTTTAAAAATTCTGGTATCTTTTTAAAAAAATTTCAGTATGGCAACTTTGATATGTAGAATACATTGAACTTCCTTTTTAATATTGTGCTTGTTTCCGCTGCCATTACTACCACAATTTTTCATTCCCACCTTACCTATATCATAAGCTAGTCCCAGAAATACTAGGAATAAAGCTTATGCCTGAACTCCTTGCATTTCTTTACAATGCTGGAATTTTCTTCCTTTCTTTAAAAGGAAGCCAGGAAAAACCACAATGAGTCCTCCAGAGCTGTATGTTTCAGTAATCACATGCATGCTGGTATGCAGAAGCTGGAGATCAGATAAAATTCTTTTAAAAAGCCTACGCACCTGAGGAAAATTTATTTCTTCACAGAACATCTTACATTTGCAGGATCATAACCAAAGGTGGAACTCTATGTTTTCATGGCTGGTCCTCTGTCAAAGACTTGATAGAGACCATCATCTAATGATGACGATTTTAGAAAGCTTGCCATAATATACAGGTCCCCAGAGAGTAAGGAAGGAAAAGTAACAACAGGAAGAGGTGGGATAGGTTTGCATACATGCAACAACAACAAAAACAATGGAAGCAACACTTTTGCATAACATTATAGCATGCAAATATTGAAAAATAGTATCAGTTTATCTTAAAGATAATGGGCGCATTGCAGCACTGTGTGAGACCCAGCAAATACCAAACAATGCTGACCCATAATGGTGCTTTAGATGAATCTTAAAATCATTGTATGAAAAGTCACTCAAAATTACTATACTTATTGTTTCCCTATCTGTAGAATAATGACCCTCATTCATAATATCAATCTTTCATAATATCCTACCTCAAGAAGGACCAGAAGATGATGTACTAAAATGCTGTTCTATGGTAGTTACATTACTGAATCATGAGAAGCAGGAAGTTAATGTATTCAGTGATTTTGAGTTCAGATAGTTGTGTGAATCAGCCCTTAGTTCATTTACAAAATCCCTAAAGAACATAGATAGGCTAAAGCTGCTCTAT